GCAGTTCAAATTGCACGTAACATGTTCGCAGTTCACCGCGATCCCTTGCGCGTCTGTTCTCGCCGCGAACGCACGCGGGTTCGATTTGGATGAACCAGCGATCTTTCGACATCCTGACGGACGTATCGTGCAGCCACCGTCGGGGAATGGGGATGTCCTGCGTGCGCTGACAACGTCAACGTGCATTTCCCATCGCACAGCAGAAACCCTAAACACTGTAGGTGGCACGACAAAGAGGATTACTACTGGGGCTGTCCCGACAAAAACACATGGAAAGGCTATGCCTGGCCACCGCCTCACGCCAGGCAAATGTACATATGCCAAACCGTGGAAGCTGCCTGACAAACGCAGACAGGGGCCTCCTGCCACTGCTGATGCGGCAGCCCCACCACCTGCGGCGGCAGCTGCCCCCGACGCATCGCCACCTGCGGCGGCGGCTGCATCCGAGGCGCCAGCTGCCAAACAAGTCGCGCGCCTACGAGCTCCGCAGCCTGGCTTCAGAGCTGGGCCAACTGCGGGCGCCAGCGGCCGCGACGTTGCAGTAGGCAGACATGCTGATGAGCCGACTGCGGGGCAACCTGCTTCAAGTGGCGCCGGCAGCTCGGACGACCACAGACGACTAACGCGCAGAGTAGCCAGACGTGGACGACAACTGGGAGGTGATCCACCTCCACCGCCACTTGCGGGCGACCGTGCTGCTCGTCCAATGCTTCCAGACTGGGCAAGGTTTGACATGCAGATCAGTCTACATAACCTACGTCGCCTTGACCCAAGCGTGGCAACGCGCGAGTTGCGAAAACTACATCTGCGATGGTTCCACGCCAAGGAGCTTAAGACGAGACTCATCTTAACTAAGGCTGACTTGGATAGCGCTAGGCTAAACCAGATAGAAGGCGTCTGTGGCACATGCCTGGAGTGCAGGACGTGGGAACGCCTGGACATACCATAATGCCGTCTACCGTGCTACCTGGCAAGTTCAATGATGATATCGAATGCGAGCTTGTGGTCTACAAACAGGAGCCTCATATATTTCACCTTACCGACCATGGCATTCGATGCGGTGCTGGAATCGAGATACCTGACAACACTATGACTCGTATTCTAGATGCGTATCACCAGTGCAGGATGCAACTTGGACCTGCCAAGGTATTATACTCTGATGGAGAAGGTGCTCTCGAATATGACACCGCGAAGGCAGTCCTTAAGGCAAAGGGCACTGAGCTAAGGATAGGTACGCGTGGGCAGCGCGCTACCACTATTAAAGCCAGGAATGGTATACTACGACACCTACTTCACGTCGTGTAGGTTGAACTCATTAGGTTAGACATACCACTTGTGCTCACCCGACTATTGCATGAGACTCTGTTTGCTGCCGATGCGTTTGCCTTCTTCAATAAGGTATCTGTATGCAACGCACTGTTTGGCCGACGACCTGCAATGCTACTTGACATGCCTGTTCTAGATCACGAAAACCAGACAGAGACACCCGATCCTATTCGAGAACAGATTATTCGCCGGGTGAGAATTGAGGCTATAACAAAAGCCACTGCGTTAGCAGAGAGAAGCAGTGCATGCACTACGGACCAAGACGACCATCCCTTGTCAGCATTATCATATCGAAGGAGATCCGGTTGACTATCATCGCCCCGCAAGTACGAAAGACGACTGGGGTGGCTGGAAAGGAGCCTTCCCGGTCGCGCGGAACCATCCAGACAGGGGCCTATTATCTTGGGGTTTGTGAACCGCGATGTGCAAGTGCATCGCGGTGACGCAAGACGCTCGCTGTGCGTTGAGGCTCTGATCGCTCGAGGGATTGGCTCGGACAACGCGGCATTATTGACTGTATTAGTATGCGTAGCCAGTCGACATGCGGGGCGACCTGCGATGGCCATCGGATACCTCCCGACCAAAAAGGGAGTACTCCAGATGACGAGCGCGAGCCGACTATCTCCAGAGGTGTATTTCGCTCTTCATTACCTCGTCAGGAATTTCTTTCGGATTGAAATGTGGTTTCTGTTAGGTTAGCCAAGAGCATTCATAAGCTACCTCTGGTAACGTATGCTGACAGTTGTACGCTGGTGCACAATGACAACGACCTGAACCCAGGCTTCCATTATTGCGAAGCTGAAGGCACCGCCCTAAACATTCAAGACATAACTGGATCAGCACACTCTAGATTCAACCAGTGCCTGAAGTCCACCAAACGTCGGGCGGGCTTCGATCAAGATGTGACGAAGTTCGAAGAATTGGCCGCCGTGCCAGCCCAAGGCAGCGATGCCTGGGAGGCCCTAGAAGCCGAACCACCACAGGAAGACGGCCGGCCCCCCACAATCTACGAGCAATCAGAGGCGGACCTCGACGCACACATTATGGAAGTGCGGTGTAGAGAACTACGTGACGAATGGAATCTACTGGAGGCAACGCAAATAGAAGAGCTCTATACTGTACCCACACATGATTTCTGCCAACAGCATGTCGTTTACAGTAGCTGAAGAACAGCGGGGGCGCCTGCCTTCGGGGGGGAGCGCACAGGACATTTACACAACAAAGACATGTCATGCCCCATTGTGTTCCACGGGCGAAGACGACAGCTACATATTGGGCTCCGACGAGCATGAGCAATTCGTGGAACTCTGTTTTACGGCAAAAATATCGAGGGTAGTCTTATCCGAACAACAACGTATAATCTTGCACTTCGACCGCGTTACCACTATGCGAGTATATGTGACCGCTGCAGCTAAACGAGCTGCAGTCGTCAAGGAGGACGACCTTTTTCACGAAGGCAGATGGGTCAGGCGAGTCCAGTCAAGATACCGAAGGCCCCATATACCGAACTCAAGGCATGGCGTGACAACAAGTGTTTCAATATAGAAGGTCTATCCAGGGCGTCAAACATCACGACTTTTTAGGCGCGTATATAAATTGGAAATTGTTCAAGGGCGACATGGGCGAGTTTGAACGTGCCACCATATGGCGCTTGGTACTTTTGAGTTTCATGGGCCTCGCAGCCTTCGACGTAGAAGCGTTCTCAGGAGCGGCGCGGCGGTCGAG